AATGGGGCCACATTCAGACCAAGTGTGCAAAGTTGACCCTGAACTCTGTAGAAAAAATACCCAGGAAGGCTGGAAGTGCGGAAGGCCTACACTCCCCACTCAAACCACATGGTTCATCCCAGGAACTAATGCATAGGATTCAGTTCCTTAATATCCTAGCAGGTATGTGTCAAATGTTAGACATACGTCCAATGTTGAACAGTGACTGAAAATAGTTGTGCTGCCAATGGCCGGTGGGTCTCTTAGCTGACCCACATGGATCCTCCTCAAGATCAGCGACATCAAACTGAGGTCAGTGCCAGCCCGCAACTGGCGTTCAGGGAACCGGGGAACGTGATTATCATCATTATGACAATCATTAACATCGTCAAGAAGGCTATTGTCCTTTGGCTGTACCGTCATATGTTTTGGATACTGGGGCATCATCATCAGCATCAGCATCATTGAACCCACAGTTTTTCTTCTCGCTTTTCTTTTTATCCGGGCTTCCTTTTTCATTCATTTATTCCTCTTCAATCAGCATTAATCACCAGCATCGTATCCATGAGATCTTGGATTCATCCAGGCAGTCAGTAGAGAGTGATGTTGCATGCTTTCACTTGTTCCTTGACTGAGATACAAACACGGTCGGATTGTGTTGATTGTTCGAGGCCTCACTCAGTGTCAGAACAGAATGGTTTTAGGTTGATCCACACAGGACAATTCTAAGGGATCTCTGAATTCTCCTGGGTACTACTGTGGAGTTATTTCCGCAGTACCGGCGATCTTAAGTAGCTAAAGGAAAGCACATCAACCGAGACCCATTTCTAGTGGCGAGCAAACGTGGATCGGGCTCAAAATACCATCCAAGCACATTAGAAAAGACTGGAGAATCTTGCCAGAGAAGGTGCTAGCCCTGCATATTTGTCCAATGGTTTTCACCAATCATCATCAGCATCACCAAAGAACATTAACACTCATCATCGTCACCATTATCGTCACCATCATCGTTACCATCATCGTCACCATCATCATGACCATCATTGTCACCATCATCGTCATCATCAGCACCATCACCGCATAATGAGGCCCCCTCACCTTTTCCCTACACAAGATTCCAAAGAGGTGGAAATCTAGCATTTGTTGGTAGTGTGTACCTCTGCCATGAAAGCCTGACCCTGTCGAGGTTGCGATTTACCTGCTGCTGGTTGGTTGGCAAACTGACAACCAGGAGGCTCAGACTACTCGGAGTCCCTTTGATCAGCTCACAAGCAATGGCTGTAGAGAGCATGCAACCTTAAAACCACTAGAACCTCTGATCCTCATTTTCCTCAGGCGGATTTGTGCTGCGTGTCAAACAAAAACGAAACCGCGTAGCGCAACTTTTTTGAAGTTTTTTCCCTTCGGGCTGGCGACATCGGCCAAAGAGATCCAGTGGGGCGGGCGCCATAAACCTCAGTTGTATACAAACGCATCAGAAACGGTTTGGAGAGGTACCGGTGGTTCAATATGACATAAGTTACATAACCAATTACACTAAAGAGTAACTGTGTGTACATGTGTCCACAACCTGATGCAGTCGCAGGAGAATGAACAGGATAGTAACATCCTGTTTTGTCACACTTTCAACCCATTACTAGATGACCTGTTGCAGCTTCGCTCGCAAAAACAAATATGACAAAGAACTCCTTCAGAGACAACCGATCGATGAGAACTCTGATTGATGAGAACTCTCTCTCTCTCTCTCTCTCTCTCTCTCACACACACACACACACACACACACACACACACACACACACACACACACACACAAACACACGCACACACACACACACAGAAAAAGGGAACAAAAAGAGAACCGACAAGAAGGACCGTGCTGCATGGCGCTCTTTTACCTTTCTCCCCCTCTACGCGAACTTTGCCCTACCCTCATCCTCATCCCCTCTCCCTGTCTCTCTCTCTCTCTCTCTCTCTCTCTCTCTCTCTCTCTCTGTGTGTGTGTGTGTGTGTGTGTGTGTGTGTGTGTGTGTGTGTGTCTCTGTGGGGCATGCCGCCG